GAGGATCCTGGAAAACAGTCTGAGGACTATGGAGCTAATCGTTATCGGTCTCCAATTTCCTAGATCCTTCAGTAGATCCTCACTCATAACCTTGGGTATCAGAACAGACTTATTTCTTTTCAGGTCTTTGGGGATGATGCCAGTAACCAACCAAGCATTGAACAGGGCTGCCAGTGTCTTTCCCTCTGGATCAGCAACGATGATTGCTGCCATTGTCACACCATCTGGTCCTGGCGCAGATGATGGTTTAATTGCACAAATGCCCGCCACAACCTCTTCCACCGAAATCAGGGATTCAAAGTGGTCATTGTTCGCTACCGTCGGAGACGTAAATTGGCCGAGGCCATTGAAAGGTAATACTTCCTCCCACTTGCTACGGTAGAAGTCATACACCTCCTTGATAGGAATCAGGCACTCCTGTCGGTCTTTGCCATCAAGGACTAGAGAGGCCAACTGAGAGCGGTTTCTGAAGAACAGCTTCTGATGTTTCATGTATTTGCCTCTCTTTTCCGCTCTCTTTTTCATCCAAGTCCTCGCAGGCATCGTCCTGGGTTTGATAACATCTTCTTTGGTCTTGGAACAGCCACCTCTGGTCTTAACCACTCGCATTAGTCGAAGCATTGACTTTGTTGCATTGTCAACTTGGACATCCTGCTGACCCTCACCCTGCAACCATGCCTTCATCACCTCTACTGCAGGGCCTTCACGTTTTTTGCTTGACTTAAGCATAAGCAACTCAGTTGCTAGAACGAGTTTGGCCCTCGCACCCGACGTAATACCTGGCGGGGGTGAGACGGTCTCGAGGAACCCAGAAACAGTGTTCAAAGTCTGTAGCTTGGGGCAATCTTCTTTTTGGTCAGGCATCGTCTCTTATCTGATATTTGCTTATTGGTCTTCGTAACCAGCTTTGTTGCAATAAGCATATTGATGTTCTTTTTCCCCTGGAACTGCACCTCTAGTTGGGCCAGCTGGGTCTCTTCCTCCAAAGACCAGCAGCTTAGATGTGCCCCTCTCCGCGAGGTATCTTTCGTGAAAGCTTTAATCCTTTCCTCATTTCGCGCTGATGGGTGTGCATGTCTCTTGTGTTGGGAAAGGCCAGTAGATGACCCAAAACGCAACTGGCAACATTCACAACCCCAAGTCAGGCTTTCATCCGTTAATTTTCTTCCCCCACATTTGGGGACATGACACGATATCGATCGGAAGTTTGAATTCGTCTTGTCGCATTTCGAGCACTTAAACACCAGAGGAATATCTCTGTGTTTGGTGATAAAGTGCTTCACCAGTTCAGACACTTTGCCCAGATGTTCCTGGCAAATTTCACAGACAGTTTTCAGATTCGGTAGAATAACCGTGACAGATTCCTTTTTGGTGTCAACCGGGTACCTTTCAAGCACGGGTTCCTCTACCGACATATCAAGGATGGACTCATGAGTATTATCGTCATCCGACATCTCCTCAGTCTCAAAAAGACTGCTGATTTGCTCGTAGTAATCACAATTGACCTCTTCCTTATTCAAGGCAGAGTTGAAAAAAGTGATGGATGTTATCCTGGTCCTGGTCAGCTTCGGTTCGGCACTTTCAGAAGTCCGGTAGACATCTTCATCCTCTGTCTGGGTCGAAACCGAGACAAACAAGAGCTTCATGGGACGGTGTCGCCATGAGCTCTCTGTGCCGCTTAGGTCAAGAATCGAGGGTCTCACTGTAATGGATGGGTCGCCAACCCGAGTGCCATCCATAGCACGTTGTTTGGCCAGGCCTCGTGCCAACTGGCTTGAGAACTTTGTTTTTTCATCCATATGAGTTTTGGAGCCTCTAGTAATCCTGCACCCCGGCCTCGGTGCAGGATAGGAGATGGAATCAGTGCTATAACCTTGTTGGCCATCGTCTGGAAGGTTAGTTCAAGACAATGTTTCCGGCGGGACCACGTGGAGGTCAAGGCCACATTGACTCTTGTTCCTTTCCCAAGGGAACGCCGGCCGAGGCGATGCGCCAGCCCGACACCGCGCGGGGTCCTGGCACCCCGGGGAGGGGCACCGGGGCCGCACGGCCGCAGCCAACGAACCGCCGCAGCTGAGGCGCTCCGCAGGAAGGGCCCGGCACACGTCCAAACTCGTCCCCCAGCCGCCCGAGACGACGGCGGGAGGCTCGCCCAGCCGCAGCGCGCGCCCAGACCCCGCTTCGCGCCCCAGCCCGACCACAGCGCCAGTTCTGCTTACCAAAAGTGGCCCACTGGGCACTCGCATTCCATGCCCGGCTCCAAGCCAGCGAGTCGGGCGTCTTACCCATTTAAAGTTTGAGAATAGGTTGAGATCGTTTCGGCCCCAAGACCTCTAATCATTCGCTTTACCGGATAAAACTGCTCCTGCCTAGCGCCAGCTATCCTGAGGGAAACTTCGGAGGGAACCAGCTACTAGATGGTTCAATTAGTCTTTCGCCCCTATACCCAGGTCGGACGATCGATTTGCACGTCAGAACCGCTACGGGCCTCCACCAGAGTTTCCTCTGGCCTCGCCCTGCCCAGGCATAGTTCACCATCTTTCGGGTCCCAACACGTACGCTCTCGCTCCACCTCCCCGACGCAGCGGGCGAGGCGGGCCGGCGGTGCGCCGCCCGCTCCAAGGCGCGGGCGGATCCCACCTCGGCCGGCGACGAATCCGGCCTTCACCTTCACGCCTGCCGGCGAAGGGCGGACACACGCTGATCCATTCAGTGTAGCGCGCGTGCGGCCCCGGACATCTAAGGGCATCACACACCTGTTATTGCTCAATCTCGTGTGGCTGAAAGCCACTCGTCCCTCTAAGAAGCTCAACGCCGACCGCACAGGGGCCGCGTAGCTAGTTAGCACGTCGGAGTCTCGTTCGTTATCGGAATGAACCAGACAAATCGCTCCACCAACTACGAACGGCCATGCACCACCACCCACGGAATCGAGAAAGAGCTCTCAATCTGTCAATCCTCTCCGTGTCCGGGCCGGGTGAGTTTTCCCGTGTTGAGTCAAATTAAGCCGCAGGCTCCACTCCTGGTGGTGCCCTTCCGTCAATTCCTTTAAGTTTCAGCTTTGCAACCATACTTCCCCCGGAACCCAAACACTTTGGTTTCCCGCAAGCTGCCAGGCAACAGCTTTAATATACGCTATTGGAGCTGGAATTACCGCGGCTGCTCGCACCAGACAGGCAGAGGAAAGGAGAGTCCCCACACGCATCCAAATTCGGAGGAACAGGACCCCCACGCACACCACGTAAACACACCTGTTACGCGGAATTCACACAACACAAACCACCACAAGGAGGGCCTTGTTGTCGTGTATGCTCCGGGGGCAACCTGGCGGTTCTAAAGGCTCACAAAACACAGGGCTTCCCACAAGGCCAGCCAATTTGAGGCAGCTGTAAGCGCACCACACACACCCAACGTGGGGTAGGGGAAGGAGCAGGGGTCGACCCCACATGCCTGCAAACCTCTAGAGTGGCCTTTCAATGCTCGCTACACTCTCGACCGACAAATCCAATTGAAACCAACCCTAATGCTTGCACAGTCGGCAGCCTTCCTTGGCACAAGACCGAACGGCGCATCAACAACCCAAGGGACAGCCTTCCCCACACACTCTGGAGGAGAATAGGCTCCTCGGGCGAAGTAACACAGCTCAAGATGCTCGCTCATTCACTGAAACCGTGGCAAACAAAACCTGCTGACGCACACCACTTATGCATCACATGGAGATTGCCATTCTAAATAACGTGTGCAGGTGCGATGGAAATATTTTCTCGTTTTGGTGCATGCTGGATTTTTATCGACAGCTACCGACAAACGGTAGAAATTGGCGGGGATAGGCCTCAGACATTACCACCAAGCTCTGGGAACGTGAGCGACACAAGACGAATGGGCATTTTTAAGCAGATATATGGCAGTTACTGACAGTGCCTGGCGTGGGTTACTTGCGTCCGTTTTCGAGAGGGGAAGACGACCCATGTATATGTAAAGGGCGATTTTAGCGACGTTAAGGCACTAAAGGCTGCTTTTCCCCTTAACTTGTTTCCCGAGGGAAACGAAGGACATGTATGGCGTGTACATTTTTTACGAATTTTCATTGCAATTCTTGAATTAATGACTGCGATCACACTTTTGCAGGATATGTGCCAACGTTTCTTCTGAAATTTGGTTGTTAATACTACGGCATTTAAATCTACATTTCTTGGTCTCCAACGTCCCTCGATTGCATCTCGATTTAGTCGGAAGTGCGTTTATCCTTAGTTTCACCATGTCTATGTAATTATACGATTATATGGTTCTATAATTCCCTGTTATCCACGAGTTGTTTTCTGGCTGAGATTGGCAATATACCAACCCTCGACCGTCTGTTGTTTCATATAGTTTATTTGACAATTTAACCTGATTTAAAGTTTTTGAAGGAAATTTGGACGATGCAAATATATGAGCCTGTTTTACAGTCGCAATAGTGTATGGTTGTTGTGATAATGTTCTTATTACTGGATCATCAGAAGTTATCAATTTGTTGTGTCTGTTTATTATAGATAGTGCGACTGAGTCGCATACATTTCTTATACCCATTCCTCCGTTGCATATTGGTGTATAAAATAAACTGTCGGGCGTATCGTGTGGCAACCTGAGCAGAAGCTTTACTCTTTTCCTAATTTCAGAACCAAGTGACATCAATAGACCTTTGGTAACTTTTCCAAGGACCAGTTGATGAATAATACGAGGTATTAAATTGGTATTGATCAAATATACTTTTTTTTCTAGCTTTAACGGTGCTCTGGTCAGTTTGTTTAACATTGAGGCGAGAAGGTTACAGCTTATGGATCGTTTTCTCCTTGGGTCAAATTCAATGCCTAGATATTTGAATCCCTTTACATACGATAGAGGATTAATGGGTTCGTTATTTATAAAGTACTAGCTGCTGTAAGCCAATAAAAAAATAAACGGACGCTCTGCATGCGTGACGTAATTTGTTTGAGTTTTGAAAGGTATTTATATCATAGATTACCATGTGTATTTACATTGTATTGTAGTTGTTTTACATTGGAAGATTAATTCGTACGTGATCATTCACCAATGACTCTCACGTCTGCCATAATTGCACACATTTATAAATCACTTCACGTACCGCCTGGGACACTGCCACGCATCCCCAGGGGTCCGCGTAATGAGAACCACTGCCCTACACCACAGAACTCCCACTTGTCATCGCTCGTCAAGCTCACGTGCCACCCTCACAATCCGCCAGAGGACACCCCATACCACCACACCACAATTCACTCCTCTATGCCAGATACCACAATACAATAGCACCAAGAGGATCACAGCATCCAGCAGTCGTGTTCATAGACGCTTCTTCCTCGTCCACAGCAAAAAGGATTCCATTTCGCAAAGTCGGTAGCACAACATTGACAC